TCAAGTTGCCAAGGTTGAGAAAAACTGTCCAAGACAGTCCCTAAAACATTTCTTCTCAAATTTATTTCCAGAAACCAATTATATTAATTTAATTCAATTTTCTATACTGGGGGGAAGGGAGATTAAAACAATTTCACCTATTCTGAGCCTAAGGTTAAAATGATGTGCTGTGCTGGCTTGTATATGTAAGAGTGAAATCCAGCCTCTTCCTTTTTAAAACAGAAAGGAAAAAAGACGTTGGAAGAAAGTCTAGGAAAATAGATTCATCACTATCTCAGCAGTTGAACCCAACCTGCAAGTCCCTTAGTTATGAAGTCAGATGCAGCCAAGCTAGAGAACTGGATATTATGGACTGAAAAAACTGAAAGGAAACTAGTCCATCAAAACCAGTTCTCAGAGCCTGGGACTGCCAGAGTCTCATCTTCTTTCCAGGAATGGTCAATCTGATGGCTCCACCACACTGGGTGGTTGCTTTGCCAAGAGTAATGCCAGCCTAATGCAGACTGAATCCAGTGTGCGCCCAGAAAACCACAGCTGCAGAAGCCAGGCCCTACATCCATCACAATGTTGCACTCCAACCAGGCCTCCAGCCACCATCGGTAAAGCGAAGGTACCCATCAGGAGATGACAAGCTGGAATGGAGTCACCCTACTCTATCCATGACTCCCCCAGGCAGCCGAGTCACTGTGGAAAATTCTGGGGGTTGAAATCCATGCATGGGGAGATCGGCCACGTTGGGGATGCAGAAGTCAAATGTCTCTCTCTTACCACAGTTGGAGAAGATCCCTGATACCAAGGGTTTTCTTGGACAAGTGTGGGAACCCCCTTAAAGTTTAAACGTTAAGTATCTATCAGTCCACAAACTCAATGTCTGTTATGCGAAAAGAGTCTCGTGCCAGAACCTATGGTCTTCTTGTAGAAAGCAGGCAGGATCAAAGGTTCTCCCACACACACCAACAACAAGGCGACAGCCAGTAATTAGCAAGGGAACATGGACAAGGCCACACAGAAGCAGAAAGCAGGGTGAGAAGGAGGCAGGTTCAAGTCCCGTTCAAGGGAGATGCCATGGTGACTTCCAGATGGCAAGGTCTGGTTTTGGGCATCTTGACTGTGGAAATCTGAGAGGGCACTTGAGAGCATAGCAAGGCACCAATGGAAGGAGACCCATGGCATTTATCCAGCTTCTCTCCAAGCTGTACAAGCTAGCACAGGACGAGCCTTTTGGAGAACTGCTCCTCTATGGGAAACATAGGCTTTGCATGTAAGATGTCCTAGATGTGATCCGCCGGACACACCAGCGGGGGCATTATGGGAGCTAGAGTTAAACACATCTGAAATACCCCAGGTTAGGAAAGGCTGGAGTCTAGAGCAAGAGATGATTAGGAAGACTCAGAGGTGACCTTGCTCAGGTCTTTGGCATGGGCCATCTCTGAATCCTTTTCATTGGCCCCAATCACTTCCTCCCACCACTCCCTGCCTACTTGGCCTTTCCTTTTCATGTGGTCCAACTAATTCATCTAAAATCCAGTGCCAGTTTCTGCTTTTTCTCATCTACTCGGGAGGGGAAGGTTTAGGGGTTGCCACAGAGGCCAAGGAACTAGCTGCTGGCACAAACAGGAACTGGCTTCCCCCGGGCTGTGGCTGAATGGGGGTGAGATCAGTTCCACAGAGGGTTTCCTATCAGGCCAGCTCTGTGTGTGTGGATCCTCTCTAGATTCTTCTCAGCTGAATCCCTGCAGGTGTCTTGAGATCATACAGCCTCCATTCTCTGCCTTCTTTCCTCCTCCCAGCACCCTGAACACACCCGCCCGCTGCACCTGCTAATGCAACTTATGCCACAAAGGTATGATGTACAGTAACAGAAGTAGCTCTACTTCTGCAAGCTTGGATCAGACTTTGGCATCTTCAAAAACTGACCCAGTTCTGCAGCTGTATAAGAGTGGAAGCCGATATGAGGGGCAATGCCTCCATTGAAGCCACTGAAGCAATCAGATTTATGTTACGAGATACCACAGAGGTGGTGAAGGTATCTGCTCCTGAGTGATCCATTGCTTTGAATGACGGCAAAGGGCATGGCGTGTTAAGGAAGAACTGGGCAGATCTGAGCAATTATATGCAGGTTAAAAAATTCGTTAAGCAGGAAAAGCGTCAGATAAGGAAGAGGAACTTACCTTAATGTAGTCGAGAAGTTCTGTGATGAAGCTATGTGACTGGGCACAAGAGAAACCGTAATTAATTCACTGGAGAAGGAAGCACGAGATTCTGCAGTTATGTAACAAACGAAGATCAGAACAAATCCTGCTTAGTTGGGGGAAAAAACCTTGTCCAAGGACAAGCTGCAGCAGGACAGGAGATTCTCAGTTTTAGCTCCAGACGGGTGGGGCAGTGGAGGCAGGGGCTTCCCAGGGCTGGAGGGAGGCTTCCTGCTTTGGTTTTTATCAACATTTCTGAAGCAGCTTAAGAAGCTTTGCAAGGCTCCCGAGAATTACTTTGCGGCACTCCTCTTTCACATGCCCTGGAATCAGCCCAGTTTCTGGAACACAGTCAGAGACGGCCATCGCACAAATGCCCTGCATTCAGAGAGTTGGGCTAAAAGTGTATATCTGATACAGGTTGCTTTCTAATCCTTGCCAACTATCACAGCAAGCAGGGCACCATTTCTGGGAATAATTTGGCTTAACCCATAACTGAAACAAAGGACACGTTTAATGCCTTCTCAGTGTTCCTCTCTATCTCCTCCTTGTTGAAATGTATAGATTGTCAGATTTTGGGGCAGGAACCTTTTTGCAAAAGAACATGCATATTAATGGCCAGGTATATATTACACTTAGTCCTATTATTATATCCTAAAAGAAATACTACAGTCCATCAACTTTTGAGTTTTATGTATTGATGTAATTCTTCTTTAGTAAGGAATTAAAAATCGAATTTGGTTATTTACAGATTCACACACACACACACAGAGGTAAAACCTAATGGTTACCATTACACACCTCTTCTTTAAAATACTATAAATGTACGCAAGTGTGTTAAATATATACAAGAAAAATGATCCCTCTGCATTCTCAATTATTAACTGGAATCTAAGTCTTTCAGAGAAACCTTTGCTCAGTCTATTTCATTTATTTATTTTTATTTATTTAATGATGTAGTGTAAACCCCCTTAAAGTGCCTTTTGAGGTGGAACAAAGAAAACAGATATGCGTTTTCAGAATAAATTATTACAGCAGCTTGTCAAATGCTGAAAATGCATTACTGATCAGCGGATGGGATGTTAGAGTAGACTGCGTAAATAATACATTTTCATGCCTGACAGGAATCTATATACATATTCAGAATACAGATAAATAATAGCTAATTACCAGAAAGCATCGACAATGCTAAGTACATTCCATGCACTACAGGCAGGGAAATTAAATTTGCTGCAGGCGGCCGCTATGCTGGAGTTTTTGATATGACACAATTATGTCATCTGGCCTTCTGGAATTGGTACTTTCCAACTGCAACTAATCTGTGTTTTATAACTAATGTTGCAAATAAATTATAAACGACCCATGAGAAATGGATCAACAATTGATCTATAAATGGGTAGCGAAAAGAGGCCGTAAATCAGAAATAAAGATTTCGCCAGCAATTCGGATCAAATGACATTAGAAGATTCTCATACACCTCCACCTGTATTTTGTATTCTGCCTCCTGCTCTAGTCCGTTTGGGCTGTGCTTAAGGGCAGATTTTAGTCTGCACTATTAATGGTCCAAAACGACAGATGTAAAAGCAGCCTGTTATTCAGTGATTCAGCACAAGCGTCCAGTGCAAAAGTAAATGCGGGTGTTACAGTATGAAGTCTATTTGTTCCCAATATTTTTTTCAGACCAAGGGGCTAAAGAGAAACCAGCGCTGAATGTTACATTAAAAAAAGAAAGGGGGGGTGTCAGCTTGACACCTTCAAAAAACTAATTACCTAAATGCGCTTATGATTTACTTCATTACTTTCTTCCCCAGAGAAGATCAGAGAAGCTGAGATTAGGCTGTCCAACATTATTTAACAGGCAGAGGAAGTTATGGCGGTCAGCACCAGGGAGGCATTTCAGAAGAAGGGAGACCCGCTCCCTGGCGTAGGTCCCAGCTTCTAAGCCTACTATTCCACCACTGTCTGGTAAAAGCCAGGTCTGCGTGGGGTAAGACTGTACCCATCTACAAAGTGGTGGTGGAGGAAACCACAGAGCTGGCAGCCATGGAGTTACAGCCCTGTGGCAAACCTCCTCTCTCAAGTTTCAGGTCCCAAGTGGGGAAAAGACATGACCACAGTGACCCGTAGCTCTGTTCCGGAGGTAACCAGTTGGGAGCGCCCAGGTGTGAACACAAGCTAAGGCTGCTGCTGGTGTATCAACAATGGAGTCGCCCAGCTTGACTGGAAACCCGTAATGGGCTTTTTGCGTAAAAAAAGAAAAAAATAAACTCATGATTTTACAAACTTGTGTTTGTTCAGCTTTGGATGCCACTTGGGCCGAACCATTTAAAGTGAGCAGGGTGATGTCTTACATTTCAGCTTCGGAATCCTCAGAGCTCGAGGAATCTGATGAAGTTGGTGAAACCTTCCGTAATATGAGCTCTGCCACCTTTGTATTACACCCATGCCTCTCCTGGCTCCATTCAGGTGGCTGCATGGGGCATACGCAGCTGGATTTGGACCAGCTGGATTTGGGAAATGCCTCTTTGAAGGAGCGGGTTAGGCTGGGTTCCTATTCGACCTCTAGGCGGCATTTGCTACTACTGACCATGCTGTCCTTCTGGACACTCCAAGGAGGCACCATCTCTTGATGCTTCTGCTCCTATCTGAATGGGCAGTTCCAATTGGTAATTATGTGGGAACAACAGCTGACCCCCTTGCCTCCCTTAAAAACGAACCAACCCAACCACAATATTCTTATCTTCTACTCTACCACCTCATTCATGCCCTTTGCAGCCAGCTGATCAAACTTACCTCCTCTTCGGTCATGGCTTCATCCATTCCTTCTTCTTCCACCACAAAGCTCTCCTTCAGCTTGAGATACTCCTCATATTCCCGCCGTTCCTCCTCTTCCTTGGCCTTCTTCTGTTCTTCTTCCTGTGGGAGTAGAGAGAGACTTGGGTGATTTTCTTCTTGCAATGCCTACCACGCCATTTGAAAGAGCACTGTTGGTTATAAAGCAAGAGCAAATCAACAAGCTAACCGAGAACAACAGAATATGGAAAGCCACCTTAGCATACAAATCACCTGTTTTCCAATCTTAGAAGGTGACCACTCAAAAGGGAGAAGGACCCCGAGCAAAACTAGTGAGGGTCCTTAGCAACCAGAAGAGCTGCACAGAGTGGACCAAACGAGTAGCTCAGGATACAGTAGGATTATAGGCTCAATCATTCCATGGACCAGATTTCCAAGGTAATTGCAGCTTACCTTGCCATAGGACAGCCTTTGACATTCATGTGGAAAAAAAGGTGAAGAATCTGAACAGTCTGTGATCTGTACTCTTCACTTCAGGCGCTGCTGTTTAAGTGTCTGTTTCTAGAGATGCAAACCCCAAAGAAGCCACAGCACACTTGTACACAGCGAGAAACTTGAGAGTCTTACATAGCGAGGAAATCTGCCAATTTGCAGACCTCTGCCTCTAAGGTATTGCAGCGGAGAGGAAGTCCCTCCCCTTCAAACCCAGATGCTCTTTCTGAGTTATCTGATTTGCAACAGGAGGAGTCATGTCCTGAAATCAGTTAAGAAGACCACCTCCACTTTCCTTGGAGGGCCCTATGATTTACTAGGCTTAATCAAGGTTTGGAATCGACTGTCACACTGTTTTCATGGCATGTTTTTACAGAGAGATTTAATTTTGTGGTTTTGTGGGTAGTCTTTCCCAACCTGATTTTCTCCAGTAGGTTGGCCTCCAACTCCCAAGATATTCAGCCAGCTTAAGGCCAGATCTTTAATGCCAGTCACAGCAGGACTCCTCCAATTAGGTCCACTGTTTATAAACTATTGCCATATTGCTTCATTTTGCTGCTTTATTTTTAACCTGCTTCCAGGTAATTAAGAGTTTCCCAAAGCAGCTCAGTGAAAAAGCAAGATGGCCCCTGTTCTCAGGCCTATAGCCTCAGACAGACAGGCCAGAGAAGGAAGGGAAAGAGGCTAATTACCCAGAAATCAGTTAAATGCAGTTATTTTGCATCAATAAGTGACAGCCCCTTTCTCCTACAAAATGAGAAGAGCTAATAGTACAGGTGACCTTGTCCAAGAAACAGCAAATCCTCTGGAAGTCTCTTTCCTGCCAAGCCCAAGCCCCATCCACCAACATCTTCAAAGGCTAAAAATACAGTTCTCATCTCTAGCCCAAAGGTATCCACTTTCTTCCTTCCCTGCAAGAATGCCCTTTCATAATCCAGTCACTAATTTGATCCTTCAGAGGACAAGCAAGGGAAGAAAAATGGCAGCTTTGACAATGCTTGCTCAGATAGTCAATTTATAAAGCTTTTTTTTTTTTTCATTCTTAAGGGAAAAAATGCCTGCCAGCAGTTGGAAAGGGTTTCTTGGCTTGGAAGTAGTTAGAAGAAGGGGTGGACATGGAAGTTTCAAAGGGTCGTTCCCCATTCTTGGAGGATATTATTAAGAGAGAGAATCAAAAAGAGGTGTGTTGGGGAAGCAGGTGTACATATGAAGAGTGGTATGATCTGAATAGCACCAGGGAGAAAGGCCAAGGATCAGTGAAAGTTCACTGAGACTACTCTAAGCCTGGATGTGCTGTTTCTGACAATATTTACACATCCGGTTAAAACCAAGATTGACTTTCCAAAGATCCATGGGATATTCTTCCTCCTGATTTTCAGGGATCACCCTGTTCATTAGAGTCCCTTAACCTTGTGTAACATTTTTAAGGTGCTTTCAGGAAAAATGTGTGTGTGTGTGTGTGTGTGTGTAGTAAAACCTAGTGAG